AAGGCTCTACAGCAGGTCCAAGTGCTGGTGCTTGAAAGGTCCTGCTGCTGCAGCACACAATCCAGAGACCTTCTGGTACTAGAGGAAACACTTCTAGACGGGGGAAAGACACCATATGGAGTGAGACTGACTGAGGCCTTTGATGCGATTCATCGCAGCAGCTCATCGACTTCTCACTGTGCCACATCCTGCTCCCATCCCCTCCCTCCCCAAGCAATGGTCCCAAGAGCATACCCTACAAAACAATCCTCTCCAATCCTTTACTGTCTCAGTATATCCTTTCAGATTTATATTGTCACCCTTAAATAATTCAGGTCTTTTATCTATATTACCAATTACCTCAAGCCTATTAATGACACTTGCTATAAAAGAAACTCTTAACAGATCCTCCTAACTTAAGCAACTTGTCAGATTCATCAGTCCTCTCTATCCCCTCTGCCACATACTAATCCTGTAGCTCACAGATGGGGGCCCTACACCCTAGTATGTCGGTGCACATGTGTGTCCGTTCCCACACCTGATGAAAATGTACTTATGGTAATTACCTCAATTAATTAAACAATTCTCAAAATAATGAAGCAAAAGTGCAAAAACAATAATCCATAGTTTTTTATACAGCAAAACATATATATCTGAATGCTTTACAAATCAGATGCCAAAAAAACTTGCTATCATATCTGGTGTTTGCAAATAGAGCTAATATACTAGGAAAGATGTTGCATTCAAATTGTTTCTCAAATGTTTACGTCTGACTTTACCAAGAAAAAGAAAACAAGAAACTAGAAATGGTGATAGCTACATTAAGGATGTGATTTACGTAAGAACATCTATATGGAACTCCAAACAGCCACTCTCCAAAAAGAGAGCTTGGCCCTGCATTAAAAGATTGGCTGCCCTGGAAATCTATTTTAAGCATGTGGGAAAAAATTTGAAGGTACCATATACTGGCAGAAGTGGGGAGAAATTAGCTATTACTCAACTTGATACTCAAAAGTTTACACACCCCCTTTAAAGTCATTTGTTTATTGATGGAAAAAATACTCTTGGCAAAAAAAAAAGACAATACAGACAAAAACAGGTCTGTAAGATATTAGCTATAAAAAGAATGGTCACCAATTGGAACGATCCAGGATATCAAAAATTCACATTAGAAAAAAGATTTTATTGATTATAGTTTCCTCACTGCCCACACAAGTGACCTTTGCTTGACTCACATCTAAAATGAGAAGCCAAGCAGTTAGCTCTCCAAAATAATGGAGAAACTAAGCTCTTAACCATTTACTTCTTCAAAGACAGAAGTGATATGATAATATAAGCACTTCTGTACTACATGAGTGGGCAAAATTTTTCTGGAAGGGGCCAAATGCCTGACTTTGCATGCCTCTGTGGTAACCACTCACTCTGCCACTGTAGCTCAAAAGCAGTCACAGACACTATCTGAATGAGTGGGGGTAGCTGTGTTCCAACAAAATTTACATACCTTGATAGGCCACATTTGGCCAGTAAGCCATAGTTTTTTAAAACTCTGTTCTAATATCATGTGATAATGATAAAAAATAAACCAAAGTAGTCCTCTATGGTTAAATAACACTCATAGCACAAAGCATAAAGTAAAACTGCTCACCTGGCCAAGAGACTCCTGGAGATGCACCTGCAAGTAATCCGGCGGCAAAGCAGGAATATTTAGAGAGGCCTGTGAGAGTGGGGGTACTGAACGGATAAGTGAGGCTTCAAAATCTTCAATTAAAGCACTTGACTGACCACTGTTCACTGCATTTTGTTGCAAAACCTCAGAATCCTTTCTTCCTGAATCATCCAGTCTCAGAAGCTCGACTTGTGATTCAAGGTGTAGTAACTCCGGTTTCACTGGGTCTGTCCTCAGGGCGGCATTGGATGCCCTTGGGAGAGCTCTACTTATCTCCTCTTGTCCTCTGCTTGACCGAAAATGCTCTGTGAGGGCAGCCCAGAGTCCAGCAATCCACGGCTCAACCACGAGTTCTAAACTGGGTTGTAACAGAAAAGAAGAAACAACTGCCTAAGTTCTCCATCTGAACATAGAATAATGGGATAACGGCAAAGTCTATCCATTTGGCAGAGTGCTACATGTAAATGTTAGAAATACTAATTATGAAGACTATTCAGAATTCAAAACACACTTACCAATGATTAAGTTTTAAAAAGCAGAACTATTATGTGCTCATTAGCTGTAAAAACTATAAGCATGTATAAAGGTCAAATAAATGAAAAAGGATCCTCTTAATTCCCTAGAGTTGGTAATGTTTACTTTGAGAACTGGATTAATGCCAAGTCTTTTGACTAAATAAATAGTTCAAACCTTTCTATCAGCCCTGAACAATTTTTTTTGATAAAATTTCCAGGGAGATCAACTACAGGGGGAAAAAAAGCAATCATCATTTAGGAAAGTTGAATTAATGATAAATACTCTTTTTAAATGTAGTAGTCCACTTACTAACAAGGTATGGTAACAACAATAACATTCCCTACATTCCCTGAACTGAGAAGTTTAAGTAGAGTTAATGGATAAGAAAGATTGTGTCAGGCTGTTGGAAATAACATTTTCATTTTTATTCATGACTTAAAGAAGATATCAATTAAGTTCTAATTCATAAAGCTACATGACTATCGAGAGGCGGCACATTTCAGATCCTGTCTCATTAGGACCCAGGCCGTAATTTCACTGTGTTCAGTAAGTGCTCATGCAGTATACAGCTCAAAATGTGGTAATACATCTACCCTTAGGAGCCTTCGTGAAAGCAAGTTTATAAAATTAAGGGTTTGATAATAACAGTTACATCTAAAGTATCATTTTCATAACTCAGAAATATTAAGGTGATAATATCTACAGTCATAAAGAGAGCTAATGTTCAATGAGTGTGTATTATATGACA